CAAAAAAAAAAAAAAAAAAATATTTTGAGCAATAGCGGCTTTAGTTTTAATAAGTGATTATGACTTTCTAGTAATTTTTTAAAGGAATAATACTTATCATTTTTATGCTTTCCTGTGTAATGACAAAAAAATTATAAGGTTAATTACTTTATCATGTACTTCTTGAGGATCTAAAATTGTACCTGACCTATAATCCTGTAGTAGTTTTAAAAGCATTGCACTCTTACTTCTGGAGGAAACACATAAATTGTATTTTGTAGATGGTTATGGAGCTACAGCTTTAAATATGAAGCGTGATCCTTTACGTATTAAAACCAGAGGAGAAGAATTTCCACTGACTCTGGGTCGGGATGTCTCTGGCGTGGTGATGGAATGTGGGCTTGATGTGAAGTACTTCAAGCCTGGAGATGAGGTAAGTTAGGAAACGCTGCTATTTTCTCAATGCAGATTTCATTCTTTTTCTTTTGGAAGTATATTCCATAGTGTTGATCTTTTTTGTTTTCAACAAATGTACTGAGCTTTGGCTGGAACCCTCATTTTCTTGGTTCTATTATTACATTTTTCACAAACAATTCCAAAATAGCTTGATGGTACTTGAGTTTTCTAAATTTAGTGCTTAAGAATTATGAGACTTGGCCAGGCACGGTGGCTCACGCCTGTAATCCTAGCACTCTGGGAGGCCGAGGCGGGCGGATTGTTTGAGCTCAGGAGTTCGAAACCAGCCTGAGCAAGAGCGAGACCCCGTCTCTACTAAAAATAGAAAGAAATTAATTGGACAACTAAAAATATATAGAAAAAATTAGCTGGGCATGGTGGGGCGTGCCTGTAGTCCCAGCTACTCAGGAGGCTGAGGCAGAAGGATTGCTTGAGCCCAGGAGTGTGAGGTTGCTGTGAGCGAGGCTGACGCCACGGCACTCACTCTAGCCAGGGCAACAGAGTGAGACTCTGCCTCAAAAAAAAAAAAAAAAAAAAAAAATATTTTGAGCAGGCCGGGCGCGGTGGCTCACACCTGTAATCCTAGCACTCTGGGAGGCCGAGGCAGGCGGATTGTTTGAGCTCAGGAGTTCGAAACCAGCCTGAGCAAGAGCGAGACCCCGTCTCTACTAAAAATAGAAAGAAATTAATTGGACAACTAAAAATATATAGAAAAAATTAGCTGGGCATGGTGGGGCGTGCCTGTAGTCCCAGCTACTCAGGAGGCTGAGGCAGTCCTTCTGCTTCAGCCTCTCGAGTAGCTGGGACTACAGGCATGTGCCACCATGCCCGGCTAATTTTTTCTATATACTTTTAGTTGTCCGATTAATTTCTCTTGTATTTTTACTAGAGACGGGGTCTCGCTCTTGCTCAGGCTGGTTTCGAACTCCTGAGCTCAAACAATCCACCCGCCTTGGCCTCCCAGAGTGCTAGGATTACAGGCGTGAGCCACCGCGCCTGGCCTGTTCCGGTTGCTTTTGTAAAATAACTCATTCAATCCCCCTGAGGTAGGTACAGTTAGGCCCAGTTTACAGATGAGGAAGCCAAGCTATAAAGAAGTCCCAACAGCTAATAAGTGGTGGAGCCAGGATTAGAGCTTCGGAGATTAAGGTCTTTCTGGTACTCTTAAGTAGTCAGTAAATGCAGCAGGATATACTGTCATCTGTTTCCAGTGTGGTTTGACTTGATAAATCCATAATCATACTAAGTAATAAATTTACATCATGTGAAAATAACTCTTTTGGTTGGTGTATTGCCGACTTGTGCTTTTTTCCAAGGGTGGGGTATGTATGAGGGAACGCTCTCATGCTTATCTTTATTGGTGGGAAAACATCTGTGTCTCTAATGAAGTTGTATGTGTATGTGTGTGTTTCAGGTCTGGGCTGCAGTTCCTCCTTGGAAACAAGGCACTCTTTCAGAGTTTGTTGTAGTCAGTGGGAATGAGGTAACTCACCACCCCTGCTGAAATCCCATTTGAAGGTTTAAACAGAGGCTGACAAATATCTCTGAAATAATTGGTTGTTTTCAGTTCAGGTTAACCTTTGATAGGCAGTTCTGAAGAAGCTGAGGGTAGGGAATAGGAATTTTTGAGAGATTAAAAAGTATTTGGTGTTATTTAATAACACTGCCTGCTAAAGTATTTATCTTCGCCTCATGGAGTTGGATTTGGAATGAGATCTAGAACCCTGCTGTGTTTCTTGGTATTACCCAGTATAAATAGTTGAAACCAAATGTATCCATTGGAAAGTATGGATTAGTCATCAACAGAGGCATGGAAGTATCAAGCTGTTTTGAATAACTCTAAAAACAGGAGTCTAATCAAATATAGTCAGGAGACCTGACAATTTGAATAGAGAGGAGGGGGTTAACGTTGAGGATATTGGCTACAAAAGGGAGTGCAGGAAGGGGAAAGGGGTGTTACTGAGATTAGAGGAAGCATAGAAAGATTACAGTCCAGAAAATGGGAGTAAAGGAAACAACTGATCTTAAAAACAAATTAGAATGTGTTTATGAGGGTTCAAGGTTTATTTGGATTTATTTCTGGGTATTGTCAGGGCTAATGGGATTATTTAGTATGGTCTTTTTATAAACAATGAAGTAACTGTATCTACTAATATAGCATACAAAATATTACTGAACCTCTGTGAGGCAGATAGAACTATTTGGAGAATATTCCTTAGCAATAATCTTAGAGTAGGGTATGCAGTACACAGTGAGTCTGGAAGAATTTTATAGATTTATCTATGAAAATACAGTTGACACTTGACCAATGCAGGGGTTAGGGATGCCAACCCTCGTCGAAAATCTGCATAAAACTTTGGACACCCCCAGAACTTAACTACTGGTAGCTTACTGTTGACAGGAAGTCTTACCAATAACATATAGTCAATTAAAACATATTTTGTGTGTTATAGGTGTTCTGTACTATATTCTTACAATAAAGTAAGCTATAGAAAATAAAATGTTATTAAGAAATTATAAGGAAAAGAAAATATATTATTCATTAAGTGGATCATTATAAAGGTTTTTATCCTTGTAGTCCTCACGTTAAGTAGGCAAAAGAGGAGCAGGAAGAAGAGCAGTTAGTATTACTGTCTCAGAGGTGGCAGAGGTGGAAGAAACTCTGCATGTAAGTGGACCTGCACAGTTCAAATTCGTGTTGTTCAAGGGTCAACTGTGTTCAATTCGTGTGAAGGTACATGTACTTAATTGTGTTGATAGGTTTGAAAGTCATTACTTATTTTTGACTGTTATCTTTAAATCTAGATCTCACACAAACCCAAAAGACTTACTCATACTCAAGCTGCCTCTTTGCCATATGTGGCTCTCACAGCCTGGTCTGCCATAAACAAGGTTGGCGGCCTGAATGATAAGAATTGCAAAGGAAAACGGTAAGTGTATCAGTGGTGGCATCTAAACCTCCTTTCTTTCATTCTGTAAGTTCTTTGCAGTAGATTTGTCAGAGCATTGAAATGGGGATCATTTACATGAGCTGGGTTGTGCTGACATTTGAAAACAATTTCCAAAGAACTCTGAGTCAGTTTGCACTTTCATAACCTCATTCTGTTGATTCTCGGCCCAATCAAATGAGAATTTTTAAACTCAGATGTGTAGATGGGCTATAGGAGTCTGAACCTTCTAAAATACTACAAAATTTTGCATGTGAATCTCTGGGAAGAAGATCCATAACTTTTATCAGATTCCTAAAAAAGTTAAGAATTACTCTTTTCAGTTTCTGAAGAAGGATGTTAAAGCAAAGGTGTTTTTTTCTTTTCCCTACCAAGAGTTGTTCTCACACTTGCCTATTTCCATGAAAACCAGATGTAAAGGGACTGCAAGACTCTATTGAGTATTCTTGAGTTCTCTCAGGCTCAATGCTTGATATCCTTTGGGTCAAGTCTGATTCTCCAGTGCCTTGAATGTATGCTCATTTGAGGTAGCAACAACATAGTCACTAGAAATGTCTCAGATGTACTTGAGTTCATATTCCAGATTCTGCCGCTTTCTAGCTGGGTGACCCACTCAGTCACTTTTTTTTTAACGAGTTTTGTTTTGAGGGTTAAATAAGATAACACACATAAAACTGGTGACACAGGTTATGGCACATGGGAAGCTACTATTAACGAGGCGATTATAATGTTCTTTGTATTTTAGAAAGTTGACATAGAAAAAACTGATTTTGTTTTTTGGTGAGAAAACCAGGTACTAAGAAACATTTAATAATTTTAAGGAAGGAAAGAGCCGTAGATCAAATCATAATTGAAATAACCTAGTGTGTTTTTTTATTACTAAGATTGTGTAGGTAAAATAACTAAAGTCTGTTATTCTTTATTCTCATTGTTGTGAGACATTGCACTTTACATTTAATGTGTTGGGTGATAGAACATTGAATTTAATAAAAGTTTAATAGCTGTATTTCTGAAAGCATTGTGAAGGCTATTAATCTAATGAGGTGCTACCCTTCGTCTTAAAATTCAAGGGAAATATTTATTCTAAAGGTCAACCTTGTTTATTTTTTAAGCAGTTGTGGCTTATCTTTCTTGAAGTTGCCATTTTGGTAAAACACTTTGTTTAAATTAAATTATTTTCGACCACATAGATTTTTCTAATGGTTTGTCTTAGTTAATCTTGCAAAAATCTTATTCAGGATTTTTAGACCTTTATTATTATTATAGGCTTGGCAACATTGATGTTTTATTGTGTTGTTTTGTTTTCTTTTTTCCTTTAAAAACATTAGATTTTCTATACCTGCATGGCTATATGTGCACTATGGTTAGAGAGTTCTGATTCCTTTTGCTGCTTCAGGGCTCTCTGAGCATACTTTCAGTGTACTGTAGGGAACAATTTAAAGACAAAGATCTAGCTTCTCTTTTCAGATACATAGGTGTGAACCTCCAGTTTGTTGTTGGCTTTGTGGGTAATTCTTTGGTACTCTGTTATCTTCTGTTTAAGCAATAATGGCCTAGCTAGGAAATTGGAGCCCTGGGCTCTACTCTCCACTCTGCAATTAACTAACCAGGTGATCACAGGCTATATATTTATGGTTTCTTTGCAGTTTCCTCTGTGTTACTGAGGGTAGGACAGTGTAGGCTGTGAGAAAAGCTTTGAGAAGTAAAAAGTTTTATACCTTACAAGGTGATGATATATTGAGTTGGTTCTGCGCCACATGTTAGCCACATGTTAACCAAACTGTAGTGAAATCCATTGGAAAGAGCCTCAAAATTCACATAATAGATTTCTGCCACTTTCCCGCGTACATAGTGATCTGTAGGATGCATTTGTTCTGAGCCATAGTGAGACTTTGGTATCTTAGTCCATTCAGGCTGCTATAACAAATACCATACACTGGTGGCTTATAAAAAAACAGAAATTTATTTCTCACAGTTGTGGAGGCTAGGAAGTTCAATTCAAGGTCAAGGCACTGATAGATTTGGTGTCTGGTAAGGGCCAACTTTCTGATTCACAGATAGTGTCTTTGTGTTTATTTTCACATGCTGGAAAGCGTGAGGATCTCTCTGGGGTCTCTTTTATATATGGGGGTACTAATCCCATTCCTGAAGGCTATGCATATGACCTAATCACTTCTCAAAGGCCCTATCTACTAATACCATCACCTTGGGGGTTAGGATTTCAACATAATGAATTTTGGTGGGACACAAACATTATAAACATTCAGAACATAGCACTTGGTACTTGGAGCTCTCAGAAATTTCAGTTTACTGAAATTACTACACATGGATTATAATAATGGCCTACATCTCCAACTACTTATTTGTGAGAATCACAGAAATGTGAGCACCTTAAAATATTGTAAAAATGCTTTTAATGAGGAAATTATATGAGATTTTATTGTACTTAAACTCAGAGGTTCCAGTGTCCAAAGTGGATTTTTTTCAATTTGACTATTCGTTGTGATTTTTGGGGCATATTTTGGCTTCCCTAAGCAATAATTAATCTTTTTCTGTACGTTATTGGCATTAAGGCATACTTTAGTCTACACAAAGCAGGTCAGTGTTTGTTATCAAGGACTAACAGTCTGTTTTTTCCAACCAGTTAATTTAATAATAATAATAATAAAAAAAAACTAACAATGGCAAAAACATCTATTAGCACCTTAGAAGGTTTTATAGGATTTCTTTACAACAAACAGCTTTTTTGAAATTAAGACAGAGCTTTCTAAGGGTTCAATGGTGTTTACGTCTTTCTTCATTGTTATAAAATTATACTTCTATAACAACTAAGCATTAGCAAACCAAAGGGATTATTTAATCTTGATGTCATATAATATTGTCATTTTGTTAACACATTGATATCACTAGAAAATGGCAAATGAAATTATTTCCTTGTTGTTAATATCAGCCCATCCATACTATCTTCGTAATTTATTCAGTGGGAACACATAGATAACTTAGGGCTCTTAAGATGAATAGAAATTTTTTAAAAAGTTGTTATACCTGATATTTTTTTAATATGCTATAAGCTGATGGTTTTATTTATTGGTAGTGCCATGGGTGCACTTGAATATTTCATGGTGTGCCTGAAATTCATCTCTAGCTGGGAAAGTTGTACTTCTCTCTGTTTGACAGAAGTATTAGAAAGTGTTAGAAGTTGAACTATTCCTCCTCCGCAAAATAAATTTCACTTTTAAATTGTGTACACTTGAAGCTCAATGCAATGAATTTAGGAATACTTTTCACTGTTTCTTTTTGAGATTAGGCTTTATGATGGTAAAATTTTGTTATGTAAGTGTAAATTAGATGTCTGATTTATTCTGTTTATTGAATTAGACAGGCTCAAACTTAAAAACATTGGATTTACCCCCTACCAATATGCTTATATTGAAATTAAAATGACTGCCTTGTAATTACAACAGCTTTCTTCTTTCAAATGCCTTCTGTGGCCTATTGTTTACCCTGCCACCCTGTACCTCCTCACTCACCATTTTTACCACCTCTGTGGAGTTTGGGTTTTCATTTGCACCTATTACATGGTTAGATCAGTAGGGGGAAGAAGAAAGAGATCCCTGCTATTTACTTGCATGAAGAAATCGGTGGGGTTGAGGGGAAGAGGAGAGTGAGGGTAGAGGCTCTGGCCTGGCCTGTGTGATGCAAATGAATCTTCCTCTGTTCCAGGACCTATTTTCAGGGAGCCCCAGAATGGCTTGGTTAAAGGAATAGTGGAAACTTCACTCCTGGCAATTTGTGTTTTATACAATGGTTTTCCGACTGGGACAAGTATTAATTAATATCTTGTGAGGTTTAGAAGTCGTTTGCTCTTCAGTGCACCGTAATCTAGCTTCTACACTTGCCTTTCACCTGCAGCTGCCCTTACTGGGGTCATAGCTGACTAAGTTGCCAAGCCCAGTGACATTTTTCAGTTGTTATTTTAATCTGACTTCTCTGAAGTATCTGGTACTGTTGACCAGTATCTTGGTACTCATTTTCTGTATGGTTTCAGGGACATTAGACTCCTTTAGTTTTCTTCTTGCCTTTTTGACCATATCTTATCATTTTTAAAAAGACCCCCCCTTTTTATCCAGCCCTTTAAAGGTGCTGTTTTCCCAGTGTTTCCCTCCATCATTCCTCTCTGTCTCTCAGGGTTATCTTCATCCATTCGCAGCTTCTATTCGTAGTTTAGTGACTTACAATATTTCTAACTCTAACTTCTACTGAGTTCCAGTTTGATGTTCCTTTGTATCTCAAACTCAACTTGTGCAAACCAAAACTTACCAACTACCACCCGACTCTTCCTCTGTATTCCCAATTTCAGTTAATTGTGATTTACCTTAAGCCAAAAGCTGACATTGTTCATACACCCTGCTCCTCACCTTCCACTGCACAACTCATTATTGTCATGTCATATAAAATGTAGGACTGTTGGAAAACATTATTCCAAGTTTGACAAGTTTCTTTTATGTATAAGCTGTAAGATTTCAAGGCATTTCAAGTTTTCTTCTGTAGTGAATATGCCTAAAATATTATTTTAATTGACAACCCTTATTAACTAATTTGTTGTTAATATCTTCCCTTTAGTGGTATATTGTAAGTGCTTACAACTTTTAATTGGAAGACTTTCCCACTGACTAGCTTCTGGCTCTCTCTGTCTTAAACCTTGTTTAACCTTATTTCTCCTGCATTACTCACATGATCCTGTGCTGGGTGGCGGTGGTACCCAGTCTTTCCTTAATAAAATGTCATAATGCTAAGGTGAGTTAACTTTAGTGAGAGGTAGGAATATTTCTGTTTGTTAACCAGAACAGCTAGCAATAATTTAACTCTATGCCGAAGTGACTATGAACCACATCAGTATTTACCACTAAACCCAAAACAAATGTATTTCCAATTCAACTTCCCTTTCACCAAATCTAGTATCACCTGACAAAAGGGAAAGT